TTCATTTCGCTTCCTTGGCTGCGCATTCAAGGTGGTGGACGTGGTCATCTGCGAAACGTGTTTACTCACCCACTCCGGTATGTGATCCGCGACCATCACCCTCAATTGTTCTGTCATGCCCACGTATTCGGCCTTGCAAATGCATGTAAATTGGTAAAGGATATGTGAACGGCTGGACAGTGACAGCCGGCGTTGAACCAATGTAGTGGGGATACCATTCGTTGTGTAGATGAGTACTGGTTCCGCCGCAGGGTATACGCGTGCCACTGCGGATTTCATTCGGCGTTGAAAAACCTGGCATACGTCGTCGCCCTTGAATGGCAATTGCAGGGTTACCTTCATTTTTGGTACCGTGGGCACACATGTTTTCTCTTTCTCCGCACTAAACTGTGCAATGAAAGACGGTGGGTACCCATTGTCTACGAGGGTGCTTGTTATCAGCCGCACCTCTTGTTCCAACATATCAGCAGTGCATATTTTTCTAGCTCTGTTGAACAAAGTCTTCACTAGACCTTGTTTGTACCTCTTGGGGACAAAACTAGAAGTTCAAGTACTGTCCCTTCCACGTTGGCTTGCGGTAAACTGATCTGCGTACTGAACCGTCACTTCTACGCTCGATCAGGATGTCCAAGAACGGCAGCGTATCATGCTGTTCGTGCTCCGTTGTCACTTTAATGTTTGTGTGTAAGCCATTCAACTTAGTAACCAGTTGGGCTAACTGATACTCGCTGTCGCAGATTAACAAAGTGTCGTCCACATACCTACGAAACAACACTGTTTCGTCGATCTCGTCCCTGACTTGATTCTCGAGATGGGCGACGAAAATGTCTGCTAATACCGGTCCCAGTGGACTGCCCATTGCAACACCATCCACTTGGCGGTAGCCTTGTTCTTGAAAATAGAACTTGACATTCGATGTACATAACAGAAGAAGTCGTTCTAATTCCGAGACTGGTATGCCTATTTCTACTTGATTCTCGACCACATGATTACAGATAATCTGAATCGTCTCTGTTAGTGGCACATTGGTAAATAGTGAGATGATATCGATGCTGGCCATGAATTTTCCTCGCAATTCAATACCGTCCAGAAGTTCCACTAACTCAAACGTATCTCTTAGACTATGTTTAACCATTGATCGTTTAACTGGCTCCAACAGTGCTACTAGCCACTTCGCTAGCTTGTGTTGTGGGGAATTGCTCATGGACAGAATCGGTCTCAGAGGGACGTCCACCTTGTGCAATTTTGGCAACCCATAAAGCTGTGGTGTCTGCGTACCCCTGGGTCTTAAGGATTTTGCAGTCGCAGCAGTTATGAAATTTCCTTCTAACAACGTTTGCAGTTCGACGTTTATTCTTTTCTCCAACTCCATTGGGTTGTTAGGCGTGCCGTCTGGTTCGAATTTAGTACGGTCGTTTAGTAGTGTCATCATCTTTTCTATATAAGCCGATTTGTCTAACACTACAGCACCCGAACCTTTGTCTGGGTGAAGGACAACCACCTTTCCCTCTGACCTGAGTTGTTTTAAGGCCTCTAAATGTTTAGCTTCGAGGGGAGATCTTTGATCAGAGCTGGAGATTCGATACTGGTGTTCAAGATCCACGAGTTTTGCTTTAAGCCACTGTTCGTTATCTTTGGAGGTTGGCGTAAGTCCGACAAGTTGTTTGTAAAATACCTCCATTTGAGCTTGGGTTTCTATGCTGTTAGCCTTTCCAGGTGGAACACAAAATTTCAACCCACATGACAGACCCTCTAGCTGTAGGGGAGTTAATAGCACAGAGGAGAGGTTGGTAACATACTTTGATGGCTCAAACGGTAAACTATACTCAAACAGTTTGTGATTCAATGACTTAGAAAAACGCTCAGTCCATATCCTCTTAGTTTCACCTACCAAATTTCGACAGAAGTTTACAAATTTGAAGTAACATACCAAAGTTAAGTTGTCGATTGCTGATCGTTTGGCCAAGCACATCTCGCGGTATTGTTTGAGTTTTTCTGTAGTCGCCTCGAGAAAGCACCTGGTCATTCGTCTTAAATTCCTAGCGTTCGATCGTAGTCTCTGCGCTCGCAGACTCTTGCAATAAGCAGCGGGGAAACGGTTTACATTTAAACATTGTTCCAGGAACTCCTTTCGCACGGACAGTTTGGCAATTTTACACTTCAACTTGACAAGACCTTCCAGACCTTCCAGATGCTAGTTACCTTCGATCAGCCCTGTCTTCGCAGCTTAGCTCATGCCTGGTGGAATCACCGCGTGAGCAATGAATGTGTTCGGCGTCGCGTATTTGGTGCAAGGATAGAGAATGGACCCGCTCAGCACCATTATATTATGCGGCAGGCTCCGATGGCTTGATCACGTGTTGCGCATGCCAGCAAACGGACTCTCGCAACGTGCGCTGTTTGCGCACCAGGAGTGTGGATGGACGAAGAGAAAAGAGGCCAAGTGATGACTTGATTGAGAGGAATGAAGTCCCTCACACTGAAGTTGGCGTCAGTTAGTGCCTCCCGACATTCTTGCTGGGAACGGAATGACGATGAACGCGTGCGATTGGACACACGTGGTGATATGCCGAAGAGCCGGCCCCAATGGCGCTTGTGTAGTGAGTTTCTTTGTCCATCCCCCTCCTCTTTATCTTCCCCCTACAAAAACGATCAAAAAATGGATCTTAGCATTATGTTAGCCATTAATAGCTTTTAAGGCTACATTGCCTAATGCCCTAAACTTTTTATTGCGGCACGTTAGCTGAGGTGTGTTTCTCACCCTCGGCTAACGTGTATTGATGAAGATGAAGAAAAAAAGAAGAAGAAGATGATGGTGGTGATAGCGCTGACGACGATGATGAGGATGATGCTGATGAGGATGATGCTGATGCGGATGATTATGTTGATGATGGTGATGATAATGATGATGATGATGAAGTTGATGCTGATGACGATGATGACGCTGTTGCTGATGATGATGGTGGTGATGCTGATGCTGATGATTCTGCTGATAATGCTGAAGATGATCATGATGATGATCAGGATGTTGGTGAAGAAGAAGAAGATGACGATGATGATGATGATGATGATGATGATGATGATGATGATGATGATGATGATGATAATTATGCTTGGATGATGTTTGAATTTTAAGTATGCCATGTGGACTGTGCTACGCCACGCGAACCTTCCAACGCTTCATGCACGATGTCACACGTGGCATAGACTTCGCGTATTCCTACTTCGATGATCTTTAATCGCCAGTTCATCGGAACAAGAGCACCTCGAGCATCTTTGAACTCTCTTCCAGCGCTTGACCCAACACGGTGTCACAGTCAACCCGACTAAGTGCGAACTCGGTAATTCAACGGTAGAATTCCTAGGCCAACTCGTTTCATCGTCTGCTTTCGAATTCCTTCCTGATAGGATCCAGGCAATCAAGGACTTCCCAGCTCAGACTTCGTTCAAGCATCTTCGTCGATTTTGTGGTTTGATCAACTACTATCGACGCTTCATTCCGCGCTGCGCTCATCTCATGCAACCTCTGACCGGCCTACTCAGAGGGAATGAACTTAAGTTTGCTTTCCCTGATACAGCACAGGCAGCCTTCGCCGTGCTCAAGGATGCTTTCTCCAACATAGCCCTCCTCGCTCATTCCGTGTCGATTGCGCCGCTTTCTATTACGACTGATGCCTCAGACGTCGCGGTAGGAGCCGTCCTCCAACAACACGTTGGTGGGCAATAACAACCCCTTGTGTTCTTCTCTAAGCGCCTGCAGCCAGCGAATCCCACTACAGCATGTTTGGCAGAGAACTGCTCGCCATTTACCTAGCCATTCGTCACTTCCGGCACAAACTCGAAGGCCGTGCTTTCAACTCTGCTTGCGACAAATATTCAACGTGGGAAACAAGATACCTAGACTTTGTCACGCAGTTCACTGCTGACATACCTCATGTCTCAGGTGCCGGTAATCCCGTTGCCGACGCTCTCTCACACGTCAACCTCACTCTCCAGTCTATGCCTACCGTCGGCCTTGCCGCCATGGCATCGGCTCAGGCTCAAGACGAAGACATCCAGCGCACTCTGCAGTCCACTTCGTTGCATGTGCAACCGGTTCCTCTCTAAATAACGGAAGGAACCGTTCTCTGTGACACTTCCACAGGTTGTCCTAGACCCCTCGTGCCCGTCTCTTTCAGAAGCACAGTCTTTGATGCACTGCACTCACTATCACATCCCGATATCCGTGCATGTTTGAAAGTGGTCACCGAACGTTTAGTTTGGCCACGCGTAAACAAAGATGTTCGTATTTGGGCTCGCGCCTGCCTTCAATGCCAGCGCTCCAAAATTCATCAGCACACCCGCAGCCCTCTTGGTTTATTACCTACCCCGGACTCTCGGTTCTCGCATGTACACTTAGACCTAGTAGTTCCCTTGCCTCCGTCACGCGGATTCGTATACATTCTTACATGTGTTAACCGCTTCACCAGATGGCCAGAAGCCATTCCCGTAACAGACTGCACAGCCGAGACTGTTATCTGGTCCATCTTGGACCGGTGGGTCTCGCACTACGGATGCCCATCAACCATTACAAGTGACCAATGAACGCCTTTCGAATCTTCACAATTCGATACGTTATGCAAAATTTTAATGCTGCCGCCGAATTCATACCACAGCACAGCACCCTACCGCAAACGGGTTAGTTAAACGCTTGCATAGACAGCTAAAAGCCTCACTCTGCGCCTCCTCCGACCCTAGCTGGAGCGAAAACGTTTTGCTGGTACTCTTAGGCATTCGCAGCAGCATCAATCCTTATTTGCAATGTGCAGCAGCAGAGCTGGTTTAAAGCACAACGTTAAAGTTACCAGGAGAGTTCATTTCACCTTCCGCATCCTCGAGTTTGCCTCCGCCTAACTTTGCGTCCTCCCTAGCTCAACGCATGCGTTCACTACGCCCGACTAAGAGGGAACGATCTTGGCTTATTAGTTGTTGTTTACCGCCCACCATCGTCTACTCCTGAGATGGACTGCAATTTGATGGCTGCGTTGAAGCAATTGGTAAACAGGAAGTACAGTCACATTCTAGTCATCAGTGACTTCAACTTACATGCCCTCAAATCCCAGGCGACACCAGGAGAACAATTCAAAGTAGACTTGCAAGATCTGGTTTCAAACTACGCTCCTTATAGTCACGTCACTACGCTCACCAGATTCAGGGGAACTGACAGGCCATCCATGTTGGACCGAATATTCACCAATGAAGAAGTAATGGTCGAGAGAGTAATAACCGATACTCCTTTGGGCCGCAGTGATCATGCGACGCTATTGTTTCATTACATGTGCTACGCGGATTATCCTAAAGAGCATGCCGAGGAATATCATGTCGTAACCAACTATGAAGACCTGTCCGACCTCATTGATACAACCAGCTGGTCCTTCTTAGCTGAATTAACCTCCCAGGTGGCCTGCGAAGAATTCGTCAACATATTTACCAAACTCGTTGCAAGGACATCTGAAACCAAACTCTACCGGCCTAAAAGGATGAAGTCTTTCGTAAGGAGCAGGACACGTAAGTGAATGGCATTAAGGGACTTGGCATGGCACACCTATATAGCCTCCCCGAACGACCATACCTGGGATGTCTACACAATACAAAGGAATCACTGTGTCAAACTCGTCCTGGAGGATAAACTTAAGAACCAACAAGGTCTAATGGAAAAGCTTTGCTCCAATCCCAAACTGCTATACAGACACGTAAACAATTTGCGCCGTGTTAAGCGCGGTATTCCTGCTCTGCACACAGCATACGGGTTAGCCCAAACCGCACAAGAGGCAGCCAATGTCCTTGGACAACAACTTTGCCGTACCTTCCAAAGCGCGCAATCATCATACATCCTGCCTAAGCAGATAACGCCGCCTTCAGGGTTTAATCACATATCGTTCACCTCCGCAGCTGTAGTGAAGAGGCTGATGTCTCTGCGCGAGTTCAGCTCCCCGGGTGCGGACGGTATTCGTCCGAAGACGTTGAAAGTTGCTGCCATGAGTTTGGCAGGACCATTAGCAATCTTCTTTCAACGATGTCTGAACGAGATGCACGTCCCCACGATGTGGAAGCACGGAATCATCATGCCTATCTACAAAAGTGGTAGCCGTGCTGAACCAACAAATTATCGCCCGATAACACAGCTTCCTGTGATCTCCAAGGTTATGGAGTCCATCGTAGCTGAGGCTTTAATGGGGTGCCTGGAGAACAACAAAATGCTCGTTCCGGAACAGCATGAATTCCGTCAAAAGCGCTCCTGTACAACTAATATCTTGATTGCTTTTGCAAACTGGACGGAATCTGTGGACGCTGGTGCAGGAGTCGACGCGGCCTACTTGGATTTCTCAAAAGCATTCGACCGTATAGACCATCGCATTCTCCTCCACAAACTCCAGAAATATGGAATCGGTGATCCTGTTCTGTGCTTGATAAGAGACTTTCTCGTGCAACGTCACCTGAATGTGAGGGTTAGAGGCAAGCTATCAGAATCCATCGAAGTTCGGTGCGGCGTACCTCAAGGCTCAGTACTTGGAACCCCCCCTGTTCCTGGTCTTCATAAATGATCTCGCGTGTGAGCTAGCTTCTAACTGTTTGCTATTTGCTGATGACCTAAAGGTATGGCCACTATAGCTGCAGTGGAGGATCACACAATCTTACAGGAGGACCTGGATAAAGCGAACACATGGTCCATCGAGAACATGCTTCATTTCAACGTAACCAAGTTCAAAGTTCTCAGTATACGGCACAAGAGTATGCACAACTACCGCCTAGGACCACAAATTCTACAGCGGGCTTCTCACAAGTGCGATCTCGGCGTGATAGTTCAAGATGACCTCGGTTGTTCGAGGCAGACTGAAAAGGCAGCTAAGAAAGCGAACCAGTACCTCGGCCTTCTTCGCAGAGCCTTCGGGAAGTTTGACCCTTCGATCTTTCCAAAAATGCTTAGCGCGTACGTGAGGCCGCACGCGGAATACGCTATCCAAGCGTGGCAACCCTGGCTCAAGCACCATCTCACCGCGCTCGATACTGCACAACGTAGGGCAACGAAAAACGTCAGAGGTTTGACCAGCCTCCCCTACCCACTCAGGCTGAAGACCCTCAAAATATACAGTGGATATTATCGGTGTCTAAGGGGCGATCTCATAATGGTGTACCAGATCCTGAGAAACCCAAACCACCCATGCCATTCCCTTCTAATATTCAGTCAAAATACCTCGCTAAGAGGTCACCAGTTTAAGTTAGTCATGCAGTACAGACGCCTGGAATGTCGGCGAAACTATTTATCCCTTCGAGTGGCACAGCCTTGGAACGCCCTCCCGGAACATGTAATTAATGCACCCACCCTATCCCTTTTCAAAAAACGCCTTCACGATACCCTGTCACATTTACACTATGTGCTATAGCTCATGACCACCAGATGCTGGCACTAATGCACAACAGACAGTGGATAGTGCCGTAACCCTACTCCAGAATAAGTCACTCCAAACGCCTTACACGAAAGTTGATAAATGCTACTATTATCGAAACTGGATTTCTGTATCCTGTCGACCCAAAATAGTTGCACACGGGTAGGCGTTGTCCTTGCTATCTTTTTTATTTTTCTCGCGTATGACGTGAACAAAAACCACTCGCCTGTTGCTTTGTGTGCGTACATTCTCCTTGCAAACTCCCTTTATACGACAGTGCAGTTACATCTGTAAGCGCCCGAACTGACGACTCAATTATCCCTTCGCTATCCTTTTTTGTCCCGCTGTACACCCTACGGGACATGTCAAGCACCTGCTTTTTTACCCGTTATAAATCATTGTTCATTGTTATAAATAAATAAATAAACGTTTTATTCCTCAGCAGTGCGAGGCAAAGACCAATTGGGTGGTCTTATCAACATTCATTGACTACGCCCCGCGAGAAGACTAAAGATGTGCAAATGCACAGCGGACTCTCTACCTGCACTCACCTCTTCCTCCGCACCGACGCAGTGCGGCGCCCTCTCCAGCCTCTCTACACTGGCCCTTTCTGAGTCCTGCAACGGACTCCGAACATTTCACCGTAGACCAGAATGGTAATCGAACAACGGTGTCCATCGACCGTCTTAAAGTGGCTTTCTTTGACGGACCAGTTGTAACCCATCCTGATGCTATCACACAAGCACCCGCACCTGCGGTGACTTCCCGAGCACTGGATATCCCGAAACCCTCCGTTCTCCTTGACTCTCAACCTGCACCGCCTCAATCCCAAGCAACCAACCGATGCGGTAGACAGGTCAAAAGTCCGGTCCGTTTTTAAGATTTTGTAAACGTTTGCTATTTCCATTAACACGCCATTTTCGTCTTTAGTGGTTATTGTGAGTCTTGTTCAAAAACGTTTTGCAAAATCGACAAAAAGAAAACTAAAACATTTTGAAAACATGAGAAGTGTATTTACTATTAGCACGCATGCCATGTTCCCTCTCCGGTATCAAGCCACTCCCACCGACCCTTGCCCACCCCCTCTGAGTTCTACCTTCCAGATACTCAACCGCAGAACTGCCAAGGCAACCCCCGAGTGACTCGCCAGCTGATCCAAGGCACCCTTCCTGACCCAAAGAAATCAGTCGCCCTCGGCCTCAGACAGCCACGAACGGTTGGTCTCTAAACGCCTTGCTAGACGTTGCCAACGAGGACGCCGGATTTCTTCGTGGGACAAGGACACCCGGATTTCTTCGTGGGACGAGGACCATGGAGGGGAGTGCGGTGGGAGGAGTGACACCTCACAAACGCACGGCCGGGTCTACAGCAAAGGGAAGGTCCTGTCAGCCTTTTCTCTGGAGGAGCCAGTATTTTTGCAGTCCTACCAGCCCTCCCCGAAGGCCCACCGATTATGCACTCTGGTCCACACGATGAGCATAAATAATAACTAACCAAAGCCTGTAGTCAGCGAACTCTGCTACACACTTCACCTTGGAAGCCCTTACTCAAGCCCATGCAACTATCGAACCTATCCTCACCTTTCGTTTTCCCCCACTAACTGCTCCATCGAAGGCTTCCATCCTTCAGCCGTCTAGGCTGAGGCCCTTGTAGTGTACCGGAAAAGGCGCCCTTTCAGTATTTTGCAACATTGGATTTTACGGTTGTTTTAACCTTCAAAATGTCCACTTGTTTTACTGACTATACAGCTGTTTTCACAAAACGTTTTGGTGAGTACCTTGTAGCACCGTTTCTCGCTCTGACTGATTCGCCTCCTATTTTGTAGCCTGCACAATATACGTTAGGTTCAGTCCCCTCCAGCTTCTAAACTGTCCCGTATTTGACACGTCTCTTAAGTGTTATTGATTACCGTCTAGTATCCCAGGCTCCACCCAACAAAGCTCACAAGATCCTTTTTTAGGATACCATATCCCCCAACATTACTTCCACCACTGGGATTTATACCGCTAGGCCCCATGAACCAATAAGTGATCTCTGCACTAGAATATGCTTTTCGTTGGAGTCAATATAATCTAGAGATCTCCAAATCACGAATGTCTCATTGTGTCACACTACCAATAACAATACTAGCAAACAGTCCCTCTTAACCCTCCCTGCAGCACTTCTTTCCCAATGTTCTCTAGATTCCGCTGTTATAAACATTCGTTTCCTACTACCTAAATTGCATCTTTTTACAAATTTCGTCTGTCTTAAATCTCCCCATTTTGTTTTCATCACTGAAACATGGTGCAACGCAGACACAAGTGACTCTTAACCTCAAGTTATTGGCTACCACCTGTACCGAAAAGATCGTCTTAGAAAACGAGGAGGAATATGCGCTATCTACATTCGAAATGACATCACAATGATGTCTGTTGGTATTCTGACACACCATGACTTAGAAGCATCGTTGTGGTTAACAATCCCTTACAGTGACCTACTACTGCATCTATAGATCTCCTAGCGCTACCAATCACTATACTGAACAACTAGTTGATGCTATCAGCGCTGCCTCAAATATTTCCCACAAACATAAGTTTGTCAGTGGAGATTTCGACTTGACTGGAGGACGTCCAGAATTAAAGTGTCAGAGAGCCTCATGGCAGTAATTCATAGCATTCAGGCAAACGTTTAGACTTAACAAGTTAATCAACCTACAAGAAGCGCAAACATATTAGATCTGATATTTACCATGGGCATTCTGTCAGTGCTCGTCACTATTGACAGCCCACTAATGGGCTGCGACCGCAATACTCTGCTATGCAGCATGAATATTAAAATAGCAAACAAACTACGAGTGACGGACAAGCCTACTCGTTGTATCCATCTCATTGACTGGATCATATTTGACAATCTCCTCAGTACCCTGAATTGGGACAAATTCTTCTTAACAAAGGACCCAACCTTAGCCAAGAATGAAGTTAAAAATAATCTTATCACCTGTACCGACCTAGTAGCACCTGCACTGTGGGACAACCCGTATAACAGTAGTAGTCAACCCAAGCCATGCTTCAAACTTACCACAAAATTGAAGAAATTCGAGTCCCAATATCGCAAAAACAATAACTACGACATTACTGCGAATTCATGAGACTCTACTGAAACTAACACATCAGGCATTGGAAGCGGAAATCACCAAAGAAAAGAAAGCGCTAAAAATCCACAAAAGATACCAACCTTGGTGAAAGTTCTCAACAGGAGGAATACAAAGCAGAACCATCAAATCCAAAGTCTGACATTAGAAGATGGCTCAACAACTGATGACGCTAGCCAAATGTGTGAAACATTGAACTCTTACTATGCGGCCACGTGCAATACAGATATCAATACGTCCCCACTTCTTCTAAAACGGAAGACGAGGAAGAGCTCTCGAGTATTCCCGTGAGTCTGAGTGATGCACAAAAAGTGTACTCTCCATAACACCATCATTTCTTCCAGAATCTGATGGTATTCCTCCAGCTATCATCAAGTATGGAGGCAAAAAGATCCCTCTGCTGATGTTAAACCCTTCACATTATTCTTAAATAGTGAACATTTCCCTCCACAGTGGAAACACTCGATAATAGCACCAAAACACAAAGGTGGCTCCCGATCTGCAATGACGAATTATCGCCCTATTAACCCTACTGCGGCAGCCTCAAAGTCACTGGAACGAATGGCCAAGAATGGGCTTGTACAATTCTTAACAAGATGAGACCTGATAAACAACGCACAACACGGTTTTCTCACGAAGCGATCCTATGCAACATGTCAAATACAATTCTTCGACTACGTAACTTCAATCGCTGACAATGGCATGGCAGTTATTGTCATTCTACTGGACTTGCACAAGGCTTTCGATGGTGTGCCACATAAACCTTTGCTGTCTGTCCTGCACTCTTACAGAGTCAGCGATCAATTGCTGAGCTTGTTTAAATCCTACCTGGAAGATCGGAAACAGAGCGTTAAATTAGGCCAGCAACTCTGCTACTCGAGAGAAATTGCATGCGGAGTTGTCTAAGGCACCACTACTCTTCCTAATGCATATAAATACCATATGTGATTCCATCAAACATGGACGATCATACCTCTTTGCGGATGTTAGTAAACTCGTCTAATCATTTCTACCCGATAACCTT